AGAGGCGGTGGTGGGCAACGGGGGCCGGGGGTGACGGAGCGGTATTTATAGGCGCCAAAGGGCAAAATGGGAAATGCCGCCTGGGCGAAATGGGAGGCGGGGTTTTTTCTGTGTTTGTGTTAGGCGAGAAAGAGAGGGAAAATTGGTTATCCAAAAATAAGTCAATTTTGCCCTCCTCTTATTCTATTTTATTTATTTATTTTCTTTTATGTTAAGGGTTTTGTGCAAGATTCGTGATATATTTATTATTTCTTTTTAAGTATTTTTTCCATTTTCTTTCGTTGGATGATCATACTTTTTTTAACTAGATTTAGAAGTTAAAAAACTTAAAGAAGATTTGAACATTAATATCTAGTTTGATAAGGATTTTTGTTTTGATTTTCCACTTTTAAAAACTATATATTTATTTGCTCACAATTTTATGTTTGGTTTTAGCTAAAAATTAAGAAGTAAATGTAATATTTTGTAAACGATTTTTTAGTTTTTATTTAAATTTACTTAGTATTTATCAATTGTTTTTAAAAAGTATAAAATAAAACAAACAAAAAATTGCTAATAAGCAAGCATAATTGTTCAAAAAACTAGATCCTTATGAAGTTCATTTTATCATTGTTTTCAAAATATAACTCAAAAGTTATATTCAAATTAACGTTTTTGTTTTTATTTTTTAGTTCAAATCTTCCTAGGAGTTTTCATTCGTAATTAATATATTATATTACCTAATTTTCTCTTTCATACCATAATGAGATAACTTATCAGATATAATATAGATCGATAATGTTACAATCATATTGATAAATACTAAGCTATGTAGTGTTAGATAATTATATTTTATATTTATTCTTTATATTCGTCCGCTCGATATAAAGTAAATATATATTCTCATTTCATTTTCAAATTGTATGGAGTATAACGAGAATGACTTATTCTACTTTGCAATTAGAAAAAAAAAATCTTAAAATTGTTTTATCACTTGTTTTTTTTTCTTAAGAATGAATAAACCACCACTCAATCCAAAACTTTAAAACAACATCAAGACCCAACAAGTGGAAATCATAATAAATGGGGAGGAAACGACTCAAATACCATCTTAAGAATGAATAAACCACCACTCAACCCAAAAGTTTAAGCTGATGGGTTGGGTAAATTTAATTCATTTATATGGATTCTAACATTTTTAAATAATAATAATTTGACATTTACTTTAAAACACGAAATTTCTATGATTGATGGACAAATTCCGTATGGATCGATAAATCTAGGCTTCCAACTTATAAAATTTAAATTTCTCTCATACTTTAAATGTATCGTATCATATATGCTTTAGGTTTTTTTTAATGAATATCATATATCTATTTCAAGTATATGAGAAACTCTCCTAATTAGATGAATATCTGGTTACGTTATTAGTGAAGTGTTTGATTGATATATCTATATTCGAAAAAGTGTAGTATGAAATTTACAAGGAAAAGAAAGAAAAGGAAAAGAAAGAAGAGTGAGAAACAAGACAACTCAATATGTCCTTGAGAGAGAGAGTCTCGAAATCACATTTTTCTTATTTCTTGTTAACAAACTCTTCTTACCAACCATACCTACACTCACATGTTACCTTCTAGAACCCACATTCCATTAATGCTCAATAGTTTGTTTTCTTGAGAATTGTATTTGTACAAGTAATTTTTCATGTGCAATTGTTTACCTTTTTTTTTTATTATTGTAATATACATTATTGTATTGTACTAATTTCAAATATAACTACTTTTTTGTTTGTAAAAAAAGTAAAATGAATTATTTTTTTTATTTTCCAATTTTAAATAAAATAATCATGAATTCGTGTTGTAATTATTAAATTTGAAATAAATATTGTAATAAATAATCATGTAGATTAAAAGAAGTGATATAATGAAAGCGAGCATAGCTCAACGGTAATTGACATATATCTCCAATCAAGAAGTTGTGAGTTTGATCTCCATCCGCACACGTTGTACTAATAAAAGGAAGTGATATAATAATTAATTATGAGATGGTATGGGAGTTATGAATAGACTAATTTTTATTAACATGATAGACAATAGCATGTTTTTTCTCATATGTACTCAAATTAATTGGGTAGATTGAGAATTAGATTAACAAAATTGAGATAGATATCTCAAAGGGCCGCATGATCACCATGTGACAATTTAGTCAAGAACACATTGTTCAGTTAGCAAGACTCAAAGAAGACATATTCTTGCTCACATTTAAAAATCGACCAAGCAAATGCATATCGTTATGAATTGACTTGTTGATTTAAGAAATATGAAAAATTGATTTCGAAAATAATAATTAT